CGTATATCTACTATCAATTCTCGTTATAGCTGAGAACTAGTAGGTACTGTAAAGTTGTGTGTGATTTTCCGAAGTTCGGAACGGCTTTAGTCCTGGGCTTGCTTGCTTCCCTACTCTAGTTGTGGGCGTCGTTCTGTGACCGCGAGCCCGGCGCCCTGAGGCCCAGGGCCTTCCTTCCTTCCCTAGCTTCACGAATCAAAGCCTTAGGCTTTAGTCTCCAGAGCCTGAGGAGGGACGAAGGGAAGATGGTGGCGGCCATCCCGCTGGCTCAAGCTTGTCAAGGGGTTCGGATTGTGAAGGCAGAGGTTTAGAACCAAGCAAACGCATCGGAATTGGAAGGTCGGCCTTTCCGGTGACACCGGACAAAGCGGAAACAAGTCCATCTTGCGGAGGATTCTTGCGCACTTATTCTGGGGACAACTCTTGATATTCTAACTGCATGCGACTCTTTAAGCATGGCAGAGTTGCAAAGGGCTTACCCGACCACTGCAGCGGACTACAAGCTTCATGAAGAGATTGGGCAGGGAGTCAGTGCGGTAGTGTACCGGGCGACATGCTTGCCGTACATGGAAGTTGTGGCCGTGAAGGTGCTGGACCTGGAGAAATGTAATAACAGCTTGGTAAGGTTGATTCTGTGATATTTGATTTATCAGTTTACCTCTCCATTCTAACTGAGAAGCTTGCTACCTCTCTCTTTGCTTACCAACCTGGGCCCAGGATCAGGATTCCCACTTGAATGTGGAACACAGACATGCAACGATTAGTTTTACTTTGGGCACTGAACATCATTGTATGCACCTATTGTGCTTGGACGGTGGCGGGATAAGTGAGAATGGCTGACAATGTCAGCATCTTCATCTCAAAGCTGATGTTGGCTGGAGGGCACATATTTAGCAACGTTGCTCATCTGAATTCTGAGTTGCAGCATTGGCAAGCAGATGTGGTGCGAAAGATCAAACTATATTTTTCTACATTGGTTAACGATTAAGAAGATCCTCTGCATTTGGATATTGCACTGTCTGCTGTTAGTGGGAGACGAAGTTTTGGTGCCTTTACCTCATACCGAAGAATCTCAAAAGATCTGGACGGAGTGGAAGAGATTGCATGCAGTGATCACCACTGAAGAAGATCAAGTACAGGGCCGAAAAATCCGCATATCTTGCAATGCCATATCATTCTCGCAGCAGATAATGTTTGCACTTGTCATGCTGAAGCGCCAGCAGATTCGTTCAACGGGTTCTCTTTAAGCTGAACTCTTTATCGTTCAGACTCCCTGCATTGTCAAGACACACAATTCCAATTGCAAGTCAGGAGATTTGGGTCTGCACCTTTTGGGAGCAGATTTTCGGGGCCATTTCTCCAAGGTTATGCCGACTTGTTAGGTGCATGTGTTTCCACCCCTAAAATGCCGTTATGTTCAATCGTATTAGCTGACAGAGTGTTGTTTGCAACAGGATGAGATCAGGAAGGAGGCTCAGACTATGAGCCTGATCAACCACCCCAATGTGGTCAAAGCATACTGTTCGTTTGTGGTGGATGTGAATCTGTGGGTGGTGATGCCTTTCCTGGCCGGAGGATCCTGTCTTCACATCATGAAGGTAAGAAAAAGCAGTATGTCATTCTAGTTATCTACTTGAAAAAGCAGTATGTCATTCTTGTTATCAAACTAACACAACGAATTGACCCGCTTCAGTGTTAGTAAGTCTACGCATTTCACCTGATCTAGAAGGGTGCGACGGCGATATCTTCATTTTACAACTGGGATCAGAGAATGTACGCTACGGATCTGAGTGTTTGCTCTCGCTGAAGCACAGAGCAACATGTATGTCAAGTTGCTGGGAAATCCTTGGCCTCTGCCAATTTCGATTCATATTTTTGCCTATAAATGGCATGCTTACATGCTGTGCAAACAACTCGTGTCAATGGATTGCTGGTGAAAGCGCTCTGCTTGTGCAGTCTGCTTACCCAGAGGGCTTCGACGAGCCAGTCATTGCCACGGTCTTGAAGGAGACTCTGAAAGCCCTGGATTACCTGCATCGCCATGGACATATCCATCGTGACGTCAAGGTAAGAAGAGCCCAGAATTTCAGTCTGATGCTGTCTCAGAGTTGGCTTTTCATAAACTCGACCCTTGCTTATAGCTGGCTCGGAATGTGTGTCGAGGGGTAGCATTCTCAAAGAAAGAGTACTGCTGCTTTGTGCTGCTCACAGCAATGCGCAATCCTCATTCGCGCTGACTGCTCAACTCAAGGTGGACGTTTGTTCGCTCTCAGGTCTGCAGTTCTTGAGGGATTGCCCGGAAAGTTGCGAATGCTGATAATCTGCTCTTATTTGCAGGCTGGCAACATCCTGATCGACACCAACGGGACAGTGAAGCTTGCAGACTACGGGGTGTCTGCCTTCATGTTTGACAGCGGGGACCGTCAGCGCAGCCGGCAGACGTTTGTCGGGACGCCCTGCTGGATGGCACCCGAAGTCATGGAGCAGGTAAAGAGCCTGAGCCAAGCCCTTCGGTGTGAAAGCTGCAGGCCGTATGCTGATGCAGATTCTGGGGGCCAAGAAGCAGCTCTTTGGTAGGAAGCGAAAAGTTGAAGCAGCTTGTTCACGTTGTCCTTTCCATGTTGATTTGCGGTGGCAGGTGTTTTTGTAAGGCGTCAAGACCTGACACCCAAGTCTCGCTTGCCGTCCATTGTTGGCACCTCTTGCATAAAGCACCATAGGAAGTTGTGAAGATGCTGAGAATTGTGCCTGCCTGTCGTAATAGAAGCTGTCCACCGTTCTGCAGGTTCATGGTTATGACTTTCGAGCGGACATCTGGTCTTTTGGGATCACAGCACTCGAACTAGCACACGGGCATGCCCCGTTCTCTAAGTATCCGCCGATGAAAGTGCTGCTCATGACGCTCCAGAATGCCCCCCCTGGTCTGGACTACCCCCAAGACAAGAGGTTTTCCAAGGTCAGTCAAGTCGGAGTCTCATGTCGAGCCTTGTTTGGGGAACCTTTGACACAATTTTCTTGCGAAAGCAGTCTTCCACACATGCATTAGCGTACGATGTTTTGCCGGACAAATTCAGGCAAGCACCATTTGCTCCATCGTTTTGCCAGACTAGGTCTTCCAGAATCGGCGATGCGAACATGCAGGACCCTGTGCGCAGTTGTGAGCTGATATGCGTCTATAAAAGTGCTACCTGTACTGTGTCTTAGGCAGCAGGAGCTCTCAGGATTACTCTCGCTTTTGTGTACGGACTCTAGATCTTGACTTTCGCTTGTTGGAATCGCTGTTGCTTTGTTGATTCATCACACAGCCCGCGTGCCCTGCAGTCTTTCAAGGAGCTGATTGGTCTCTGCCTGGTGAAAGAGCCCGGCAAGAGGCCCACTGCCGAGAAGCTCCTGAAGCATTCCTTCTTCAAGCATGCCAAGACCGCTGACTACATCCAGCGCCACATCCTGGATGCTCTCCCCCCCCTCGGGGAGCGGGTCAAGAACCTCAAGGTTAGTATCTTTACCAACTTCATGTTGCGCACAGTATGCGCGCTTTCATGTGACCCGCCCTGCCTTTCTAGACTTCTTGCGAATCCCAAAGCTTCTTTGCGGATCCAGAAGGCTAGTTTTCAGACGAACCAGACAAAGGGGTCTTACTCCATAGTACATGGGGCAGCAGATTTGGGATGTCCAGAATCGATGGAGAGGCGTAAAAGTAGGAGGCTTTTTGGTTTCTTTGGAGTTCGTAAGCTGCTGAAGCATAGCAGTTGCATCTTTATAAGCAGGCCCTCACGAGACAGGGTCTCCCGTTGTGCTCGTAAACATCTTGCTTTCATCGGATAAGTTTTCTTGAAGGCCATATTCTTGCTCGTTATGTTGTCTGCCAAAAGGCAAAGGTGCAGTACTTCGCTTTTGGGTCCCACCTCTTGATCTCGCACTTTCTGCTTGGTTGTTGGATGCTTTCTCCTAGTCATGCTGGTCTTGACAAGTCTGGGGCAAGTGATGAAGACACACGCAAGTTACACGAAGGCTGGTGCGTCCAGTCTGTGTGTGTACCTTATGGTGAATTCTGCCTGATGCTCCATTCTCGTCTGCATTTGCACTTCATTCTGAGAACGTTTCAAGTTTGGAGGTTTAAATTGTGTACTGAAGACGAGCTGCCGCTGTCGCAGATGTTCACGTCTGGAAGAAGTTCACCTGTATCCTCGCAGAACTGAAAGTGATGGTCACCGATTGCAAGTCTTTCAGACAAGCACAGGCATCAAAGTGGTTGTGATTGGGCGGAAGAGGATTGATCTATCCCGAATAAGCGAGTTGTGGGAAAATGAAAATCCTGCTGATTATCGCTTTCCTGCCATAGCTGCAAAGCTTGATGTCGGGAAGGGTCCAAAACCAATTTCCTGCATTCAGGGTCATTGTCTAACCAGCTTATGATCCGTCCAGCTTGGGTGGCCAGCGCGTGCCTCCACGTTCCTTCAAACCGGGTCTAATGCCCAACTGCTTTTTGATCTTCAGGCCAAAGATGCCGCTCGCCGCGCGCAAGCCAAGATGCCCATGATCGAGCAGGAGGAGCGCTCCAACAACGAGTACAAGCGGGGCGTCAGCGGGTGGAACTTCGATCTGGACGACCTCAAGGCGCAGGCCGCTCTCGTGAGTATCATCAATGACCTTCCTGGTGTGTCGGGCATGAGGGTCTTAATGGTATCCCTGCAGATGGAGGCTTCTTTTACCTTGGGCGAGGAGTAGGGTGCAGGCGGTTTTCATAAGTACCAAACCGACCATCCATAGTGCGTTGGACCTTGGGGGTTGTGGGCGCTATGTAGGTGGGGCTTCCGTCACCTTGGGTCGTAGATTGCGGTGCCAGAGAGAGATGTCACAAAGCTGCGGGTTGTCAATCTGGTTCGGTGGACAGTCCAGCTTCTTGGTCCCTACCACAAGAGCTCAGACAGCTGCCTCGATCCGAATGAGTCCGTGAGACCTTTTTTGAGGATGGCACTGGCGAGCAGATTCTGTGGTGATAGCAGAGACACTGGGTGTCGATGCTGCGGATTGTCATCATGTGGTAACCACAAATCAATTGGGTAAAAAGCTTGCTAACAAACTCTCTTGCTGGGGCCCTTACCTCCTATGCGTCTATCCACGAGAATGAACTTGGAAACTGATGCTAGTGGTGCACTTAAGGAAAGCACTGCTTGCTTTATGGTCGACTTTCTTCGTATACCCCTTACTTTGGCAAAGGAAACATTTTGTTGAGCATCTCTATTCTTTGTCAGATGGAGGACGACGAGCCTCCTGCCAGAGACGACCGCAGCCGACGGACCTCTGCCGCAAGCGTTGACGAGTATGAAAGGTGCGGAACCATCTTGCAAAGCGAGCCGCCCCAATCCAACTGAAGTTCTGAACTGTTGATCTGCGCATTTGAAAGTTGGAAACTTACCAGCTATACCACAGGCTTGGAGTTGGAAGGGAAGCATCTTAAAACCTCAAAACTGATGTGCAGACTGGGAAGTCTTATAACATGTATCAACCAGTGTCTCCGTTGCCTGCGACATACGCTACAGGACGTCAGTAAAGTCAAATGCCTTGGATAGCCCTCAGGAAGACATCCCCCTTCCACACCTGCAGGGAGTCGCCTCCCGTTTCTGCTGTCCCCACTCCGTCGGCTGAGCGAGAGGGCGCTCGCTTCACGGACGTGCCCCTTCCCAGTGCGCTCTCGGGCAAGTCGGGCCCCTCGGGCCCCTCGCTTAGGGGCAGCGCGAGCGACAAGGAAATGAAGCCGCTGTCGTCCACCTCCCAAAGGGAGAAGCCCAAGAACTTGTAAGTCACAATACAATTTGTGATCGTTGCCTCTCTTGAGGATCGTGAGGTGTAATTGCCGGCAGCGATGTAAACTGCTCCAGGGTGAATATCAGTCCAGCTTTCCAAGGGAGAAGCTCAAGAAGTTGTGAGTATCGTTGACGATTGAGCAACCTGTTTCGCTGCCGTGCTCTTCAGTAGCATGATGTAGATACCTGTCTCTATGTATATGTGCTCCAGGGTGGTTGATTTGGTATTCAAGGCTGTGGTTAACCTTGTCAAAGTGCTATCGAAGTACGATTCGCAACGAGGGCAGTGCTGCGGCCGTTAAAATTTTCGGTGGCATCAAGTATTAGCGGGTTGCTTAGACATTTCCCTGCGTAGAAAGTAGTCTTCTTACGGACGCCATTGCTTGTGGTTGCAGCTCAGGACCATTGCCCATGGGCAGGAAGGAGCCGAAGCACGTGTGAGTTGCCACGTATCTTACATGCCATTGCATCTCGTTCAACCTCTCCGCTTTTAGAGATACGCCTTTTCTCGGTTCGTTTGCAAAAGGATGAGAACCTTGGATGCGCTCTAACACATTCTGTCGTTAACGTGGATTCTAACCTTTTTGAATCTGGTTTCAGCCGAGTTGCAGAAAGTTTTATATTCAACTCGCAAAGACCGTCAACTACAAGCAAAGCTTTCGAAAGGGCTTCCACCACCACCTTGGAAATGGGCATTTAACTGCTCTCTGATCCCGTAGCACGCTCAGACGAGCCACCGTTTTTCTTTCAGGGGCCGCTTTGACGTCTTCGAAGACGACAACGACACCAGTCCCGACTACCGGGCTCGGGACCGCGACCGGCTAGCAGCCACGATTGGCCCCACGGACCGGCTCGGCGGTTCCAGCAAGGACCGTTCCGGCGACAGGGGCTCAGCGGTTGTCGGGCCGAGTCTCTCGATGTCGCGGGATCGTGACAGGTACGGAGTCCTTCGTCATTGTTTTGTTGTGCCCACTGTCGGTTAGTGAAAGATTATACTGTTGTGGTGTCGCTGATTGAGGGTGTGCTCATTTGCTTCTCTCTCACGGGTTTACAACTCTTCATTCGAATGAGAAGCGTTTCAGGAAACGGCACAGAATGAGCTCCTATCTGCACTCTTGACTGAGAGGCTTTTCTATTTTATCCAGATTGTGTTTGTCTTTGATTCGATGCACAAGCTCGATGGTACATAGAGGATCTGCGATCCTGTTCTATCGCTGTTGCTCCTTATCGTTGCCTAATCAGCCTAATCTATATTTTCAGGAGCGGTAACGACAGCCGTCGAGACACAGAGTATCGTGCTAGCGAGGTGAGACAGAATTTCAAAACGTTGAAACTGTTAAATACATCCTTGGGTCCAGGGCGCCAGTTTACATGTACTCTAGAAGCGGGTCCATTATGCAATCTATTCGGGATCATTCTGTCGAATGTCAGCAGTTCAATAAGTTCGAAGGTTCTATGATGGGGATTGGGAAGAACGTAGCTGTACATTAACAAGTTCAATAAGTTCGAAGGTTCTATGATGGGGATTGGGAAGAACGTAACTGTCGGATTGTAAAGGTAGCATAAGCCTATAGCTGCTCTCAGCCTTGAAAGTACGTCCTCTTGAAGATGTCAATTCTTCGAATCTGCTCGTATCTTTGCTGGTTTGCCTCGTAAACATCCACCTGACCCAGACGTATTCCTGTTGTTGTGCAGGGTGAAAGGAGGCAAGGTGGCAATGGGGGAACTAGTTCCCGTAGCACATCGAAGGATGGAGACGGCAAGCCAGCCCCTGTCGTGCAGAAGAAGGGGAGGTTCAGTGTGTCTGAGGTACGTAGTAGACAAAAAGGAATATAGCCGGTTCTGTGCTGCCTTTTTGGAATCCGTTTTTCAAGTTCCAGGACAGGCCGGGCGCTCGAGTGGGGCGCCCCTCGCCTAGGGAATCAAGTGTTTGGAAGCTCTTACTCTGGGATGTCCGAGATGCCGTGTTGTTGAAGTACAAAGCTTTTCCAACTGCGTCAATTCGAGACCTGTCTTATCATCTTCACTCGAAGCGCTCAACTTCAGGGCTTGACGGCCCTGTCTCCCGGTTATTGTTCGGATCAATTGACCTGATCACTCACTATGAGAGGAAGCTTCCCAACAGACGCTTTCGCTTCATCTGATTTGGAAGTTTCGTGGGTTTCAGAAGGTTTCAGAAGGTTGCAGAAGCGCACTCAAGGTTCAGACCTGAGATAAGTGAAGGTTTTTACGTCACACTTTACACGCTCAGATCAACGTTCTCACATCCTGCGAACGTTTGGCACACCATTCCCGCTCACCCGCCCATTGAAGCCATGTCCATCCCCATTTAGGAAGTGGAAGAGCCGCACATGCACAAATCCGCTAGTGTCCCGGACTGGCCTGCCGATCGCGAAAAGGAAAAGCCCGCAGTGCGCTTCGCCCAGACAGTAGCAGGCCCACAGGTATTTGCCCTTGTATCCCACGACTCACTTTTCAGCACGATTTCGCCAACACGATCTGCCGACATGGGCTTTCTTCACGGGCACTTTTTTACTTCTCGTTTGGTGGTCCGCCCGAAACGTGCTGCTGCGCATCATCGCCTGTGGTTCGGGCGAGCGGCAGCCGTCTCCTGCTGTTGGTTCCGTTTGTAGAACGGCAGCAACTGAGCGGCCGGCTTTCTTAGTACCTCTATAGGCTGACCCAAAATAGTTGTCGCCTGTCGTGGTTCACCTTTATTCGTCCCACTCAAGTTGGGTTGGGAGAAGGGGCAACTTGCCTTGCAGTATACCGCGTGTGCATATTAGGGTATTGATGTAGAGTAAGATCGGATCTGATCATCTCATGTAACAGGTTTTCCTCGGTGAGTATTCAACGTCTTCTCCTTCGCTTCCGCAGAGCCGCCAGGAGTTGAACGTCCTGGGCGTGAGCACCGGCGGGGAGACGGTCCCCGTGTCTGCGGTGCTGCCCCATCTGCAGAGCCTGATGCACCACGCAGCAGTCCAGCAGGTACGAGCAAAAGCTTCGACTCTTGGTAAACCATAATCCTTTTTGGATTTTTTTTCATGGATTGATTGCATGAATCTCATATCAGCCAGTGACTCTGCTTGTCGTCAAGTGGCCCTTCAACGGGCTTTCCAATTGGATCAGGGTGGTTTCTTCCCCATTTTTGTTGGGCGCGGTCGAGCTTGTGGATTTGAGCTGGGATTTTGGCTGTCAAACTGACATAGAGTGAGCCCGACTGTGAAGTTTCGATCTTATCTCTGTTCTATCGCATAGCCGTGTGCTCATTTTCCTTTTAACATCAGAACTCAACCTCAAACTAGGACGTAACTTTGAAAGAATACTTTTGTAAGTTGGGCCTCTCGACTTTTCCAAGGCGGAACTTGATCCTGTTTCCTCAGACCAGCCTGAGCTCCGCCGGCGCCGTAATCACTCTCCTTTTAGGCAAGAGACACTGAACGCGTCAGGACTTAGACGTCACGACGTAAGTTGTGCAGAGCCTTACCTCAGCGGTTTGAGGAGTGAGGATGCAGGCCCCTAGGCTGAGTACGAAATTCTCAACTACAACCCGAAAGTCGTACACAAACTCATCAACTCGCTCCTAAAAGACTCCTTATAAACCCCACAGGACGTTGTTCTGGCCCTGATGAACAGCCTGAGCCCGGCCGACCTGCGCCAGAGTTACACCTCCCGGCGGGACCTCAGCCGGACCGTGAGCGCGGTGTCGGGCGAGTTCTCGCCGCTGGACCTGCCTACCGAGCGCGAGCGCGAGCTGCAGCAGCAGGTCATCGAGTTGCAGACCAAGTGAGCCGCGCCTAGTTGCCGCCCACGCCAGGCTTTAATCCCCTTCTCACGCCTCTTCTTGCATTTTCTTTCCTTCCTTGAGAGAAAAAGAGAGAGAAACAGCGGGTAATGGGGTGTAAACGTTCTATGTAGAACGCCAGGGCTGCTCACTGAGTGCCAGCACAAGTTGCAAAAGCATGTCACCCGGTTGAGACAAATCGCGCTTCGCTTCTTCTGCTGCGTTCGTCTTCGTCTTTCCATTGTTCTGTTTTCCTTCCCTTATTCTGTTCCGGCTCGTTGCATGTCTTTTTCTCTTCTTGGTCATCACCCGGCAGATGCAACTGCAGGTCATTGAAAATGATAGCCAAGGGCAATCCCTGCTCGGGTAGTGCGCTCTTTACTGTCTTTGCGCTGTCTTACTCTCTCGCTTCTTGCATCAGTGGCCTTAGCACAGACGGTATGCGAAGCCCGGCTTTTGAAGCTGGCAACAGTCATGACAGTTATGATCAGTTATTATGATGATGCCCCTCTCGTGATCTCCTTCGGCAGCATTGAACCTTTACTATTGCGCCATGGGGTACTGTAATCTTTGCTTGTGATTTTGCTGCCGTTCATACTCTGGGCCTTCTTCTTCTTGCTCCGTTGTCCCTTTTCTTCGTGCTATGCTATCTCCTTACAAGAATGTTGCTTCCTCGATTGTTAGATCCAATTGCAGCCGGGCGCACATTTTCATAGGCATCCGTGGCTAAATCACGGCGGTTGTTTACAGAAAGGCTTTTTGCCTCTTCTGAGTTTTGGCATGTTTGTCGCACTTGCAGGGTCGCCTCTCTACTTGATGACATCCAGACACTAAAGGGACGAAACGCAGGCCTCGAGCGCCAGCTGAACCAGATCCACAACGAAGAAGAAGAGCGAAGGATAAAGGCAGAAGAAGAAGCCGACGCTGACCATCAATAGTGTTTGTGACGGTCCCGCATGATTTGAAACTAGGGGCTCACGGACACCTGCGATTCGAAGAAGGTTGTTGCGGTTGTTGTGTGTATGTAAGGAATGGACAGGTACTTACCTGATGTTGCTCGTTTCGGTGGCTGTTTATGTTCTAACACTGTAAAATACGAAACGTTTAGACTTTATTGATAAATCTTACCGTGTGCCGGGAAGCCTGGCCTAAAAACAGGTTTCACCGACCTGCTTGCAGCAGGTCTTTGCTAATGTCATTTTGGTATCCATGCTTGGCCCAGGTGTGCCAACGCATCCGACCTGCCTCTAGTACCTTAACCGCAGTTTTCAAATGGACGAAGTTCTTGAGGGTAATCCTGGATTGTGTCGCGACACTGTGCATGACATATTGGCATCACGTGCGTGTTATTGCAGGTTTTGTTGTCACATGTGACAGACACTCAATGCATGGTGCAACAGTGCATGAAATTGTGTACCAAAATATACTACATACTTGGGTACCGTAAAGTACAGCTTAAAGCAGTTTGTACTGTCGACTTCTCCCTTGGCCAACATCACAGAAACGTACGCTGGCGTTACTATGTGCGTGCCGTAAGAACCATGATATATAACAAAATGTCTAACGCATCAAGTTAAAATTAAGTAAAGTGTGGATTTGCATGTATATATGATTCCGGCTTTGCCCTTAGTAAATTCAGTGAGACATTCAGTGACCACAGAAAGCAGGTGTGTCATGCATGTCCTAATTATATATATATAACTTCTCCGTACTTAAGCCAACAATATGAATATACAAAGCAGTGCGTTGGCCAAGCCAACTCAATGTCAGAAAGTGAGTGCCACAGCACCTCAAATGTCAATGATACGACCGGAAGCAGCGACCGTGAAGAGATCCCCACGGCCTACGAAACCTGACAACGCCAATGGCCTGGCACCTAATGTGCTCTGAACTGCTCGCGCGGCTCTATGATGGATAGCTCTGGCCT